ATTCTAATAAGTGTTTATGATGTGAAGAAAGCATTTCTTACGTGTATCCGGACAAAAACACCATACATGTTAGAGACCGGAATGAGTGGAGCTAGGCTATCTCTCAAAGGCGCCATTTTTGGATTTGGATATCCAACCCGAATTAAAGTAAACAACGCCCACATGCAACAAGGCATCAATCACCAACCTTTGGGGCCCTCTTGTTTTTTGGTCTTATACCTAAGCCTTTGTACCAAATCCTCCATTCCTTGGTGGGGGTTTGCTCTTATACGTAAGGTTTTGGCTGACCTACCAAGTGTCCCTAGTTGTCTACAAATTTATTGTGACCTTGTTTTTTTTTTCCTTTTTTTTTTTTTTTGGTGGGGGGGGGGGGGGATGGAGGGGTGTGGAATCTTATAGTGGGGTCTCCATATAAATTATATGGAAAAGAATGAGAGCATAACATATGTCTAATTAAAATTTGTGATTGATAATACATATTTTTATTGCATTGACATTCTAACTGTTTGCACTAATATTTACTTATGTTCTGTACTGATTACTGATTTAAAATTGATAGCACAGTCACACGTCATGTTCTATACTTCAAGTCTATATGTCTTTTTTTAATAGAGGGCTCTCTAGAGGATTTATTTTGATTTTATGTGGTGGTGTATATTTGATCAGGTTTTGTTATTAAAGAGAAGGAAAGGTCTTGCATATTGCAAGTTCTTCACCCCTTCTTGTGATTATTGAAGTTAATGATTGGATTAATTGTTTAAACGTTAAAATAATTGAGTTACCATTGAACTCAATCTGATTTTCTCCAATTATATGAGCCTTCTTGGGTGTATATAACTTGAAGGAAATTCCACTTTGGTACATGGATCTCTTTGCTAAAAACAAAAAAGTAAGGCTTCATCTAGATATCATGATGTTTTTCTTATTGTGTTTTTGTAAAAAAAAAAAAAAAAACATCATGGCGTTGTGTTTTCCCTTTAAAGCATTTTCAAAACATCATGCTAACTGTTTTCGGTCAACACTTGTTTGACCCATTATAACATTAGTATTAAATATATTATTAATAGTAAATATAAAACAATAATATATTATAATATACTTTAATGTATTATATTACATTATAATTATTACATATTATTTTCAAATAAAAATATATTTTAATTATTTTGGTATATCAATTTGTTATTGCTATATATTATATTAATATTTTTATAATAATCTTATTTTATTATTAATATAATATAATATAATACTCTTAATATAATATAATATTATTAATAATATTAATATTATGTTAACACTAGTATATTATTAAAAAATAATATATTGTAAATATTTTAACATTAATAAATAATATTATAGTTTCTAATATTTTAGAATCCATTAATAATTACTTTTAAAATGTATTAATAATTTATGATATAAATAAAAATTATTATATTATGACTATATTATTATTACATTAATAATTTGTTGGTAATAAATTAGTTTAGTATTAATAAATTATTTTACATTATTAATATATCATTTTATTTATTATATATATATTAAATTTTGTATATTAAATTACCTTTACTACAATATATACATAATATATTACTATTATTATTATTTTATTCTGTTACTATTTTATTATTAAATATGTTACTATTACATAACATTTTTTACTTATTAATTTATTAAATATATTTATTAAAAAATTAATAATATTATAGTAATTATAGTATTGTATAGTATATTATTATATCTTAGCATACTATTACTTATTATCAGTAACTTTTTATGATTTTGTTTTAATTTATTTATATTTATTCTATTTATTATTATATTACTTAACTGTATTATTATATAATACAATATGCAATTAGCTATATTCATTATTATTATATCTTTATTATATTATTATTTAGTATCAGTAACTTTTTATGTATTTGTATTAATTTATCTATATTTTATTCTTATTTATTATTATATTACTTAACTATATTATTATATAATACATTATCAACATATTAAATATTTATATTTAGTATGTTATTATATTATTATATAATATATTTTAATTATTAATATATTTTATATTATTTAATAAATATTTCTAATATATTAGATTAACTATAATATAGTATAATATAATATAATATAACAAGCATGTCGATGATAACTATATATTAATATATTATATTAGATATTATATTAACACCTCCTCGAACTCAAAACTAAAATACCAAACTTAAAACATCTAAAAGGTGTTTTGAAATAAGTATTGTTTTTATTGGTTTGATGATGATTTAAGCTCAAAAAACATCATAATTTCTAAACATATGGTTTTTTGTTTTTGGCAAAAACACCGTAGAAACAAGGAAAATATCATGGTATCCAAACGAAACCTAAATAACTAATAACACGTTTGGCAAATGGTCGACGTGGATTATATTCCAGTTTTGGATGTTTGGAGTATAGATTATTTTGAATTATAATCCACCAAAAAATAAGCTGGGAGTACCCATGCTTATTTTTTAGTGGATTATAATGCATGAAGCTTGACCATGTAAAATATATCTGTACCCCTTCATGATTTCTTAATTTCCTAAACTCATTTATTAACTCAGCACCAACTCCATTAATATAGGTATTTTTCAGTGATTTTAATACACTCATTTACCAAACATGTAAAGTTCGAAAATATATTATAATCTACTAAATTTACCAAACGAATTATAATTCACTTGGAATATAATCCCCTTGATATATAATCAGGATTATAAACAAAGTGGATAATAATCCATAATGTGAAAACATGCGCTAACTCCCTGCAAAAAAGTAAGGAGGTGCAAGTGCAATTAACCCCAACATATACTCATTATTACAAGAAGTAGGTTGGCAATAATGGCGAAGCCTTAATGCGTTAGGAAATCTGATCAATTTATCCATGTTTTATTCCCCGTTTCCACTGTCTTTTACCAGATAACAACCACAAGATACATATATGTATCTGTTACTGTATGAATACTAAATCTCTATAAATAGTAGAGTATAGATATCCATATAACTATCTTTTGTTAATTTTTGGATATTAGAATCTAGATCCATGTCTCGAATATCTAAATACATGTATCAATTAGATTAGAACCACACCACTTTTCCAATATAGAAGCTCATTTGGAAAGCCCTAAGAAGTCCATGAATCTGTACCTCCAGAGCTCTCACCAAAATAAAAACTAAAAAGAGTTACAGCTGAAGATACAATCTTGAACGTACTTAGGGCTTCACATGCTCTCAAATGAACTGTTCGATCTGAGATACTTCAGCAGATGATTCGGCCACTGTGATTTTGTTAACACACTGAGAGAAGGTGAATGCCTCTGCGGGTACACCGAGGTTGTGTTCGTTGGTAATGTCAACAGTAGAAATGGCCGTTCTTGATGTCCGAAGCTTGTCACTGCAATAAATAAGGCATAATTAACCATATAAGAAACTGAAACATCGTAAGAGAGAAAATGTTGCCTTAAGTAATGTCCCTACTACAAGTAAAACCTGAATTCAAGTCATTTTAACCCCAAAGTGGGTGTCCCTAATGGAAAATATGGTTATCTTTAATGGAGAAGTCCCCAGTGATTGATGCTCTATACACGAGCGAGCCAGAGAGAGAGAGAGTGTGTGTGTGTTGCACGTGCTTCCATTGTGCTTTTGTTGACGTTTCTAAAATTGGAAACCATTAACACAGTTCAAGAAACCTGTATGGCGCAATAACAGCTCCAGTTCAATTGTACAACGTAATTTCATGAACATCATTGTTGTGTTTTTGACTCAAATACTCAGTCTGATATTTGTGGCAGAGGCTGCAGTCAATAGCAGAGTGTAGAATAATTATATGAATTCAAATTCCTATTTTGACAAGGATTAACAATTGATATTCCTACTTAGACTCTTATTGGGCTTTAGAACATGTGGACTTCTATTCCAACTAGAACTCCTGATTTTTGGACAACAAAGAGTTGGGGTCTCCAAGGCTATGAGCCTCCGATTATGGAGGGGCCATAAACTGGCATCAAATCATATATGAGTGAAAAGATTACAAAAGATGATACTCAAGGCAAAGACCCCGAGTTTCCAAAAGCTATAAAACACCAAGACGAAATAAAATCTACAAAATACAATCTAGCAACCCACACATACTTAGGATACTCCCCTATGCTATGCACCCCTTTTGTCAAGACACAAAAGGTAACGGGCCTGACAGGGAAGATCATCAATGTCCAAGAAGAACTTGAGCTCCTGAAGGTTGTGTCCCAGCTTCGACAAATAGTCCGCGACTTGGTTAGATTCTCCGAAACAATAATAAACTTTCAATGACGCATCCCTCAGATAAAACTGCAACTCCCTCCAAACATTGTGCATATATGCCAGAATGGGGACTTTTGCCAATCAGATGGACCAAGCTTTTGGAATCAGATAATGCATAGGCATGAAAACCCATGGAAGACACAAGTTCCGCTCCAGTATGAAGGGCGACAATTTCCCCTTGAAGGCTATGTCCTTGTCCTACAGGGACTACAAATGCACAGATGAAATCTCCACTTTGGTTCCTAAGCACCCCACCCACTGCAAGTTAATTGTCATGGCATGAGCCGTCGACATTCAAAGCATACGTGCCAGGTGGGGGTAGAGTCCAAGAACATAGGAAATACTTCTTAATAGGGGGGTTTCGAGGTTCGAAGTCAATCATATGGCGGGAATCTACACCAAACTTATAAAAAAAACCTCATCATCACCATATATGCAATTATTACGAAAGCTCCAGATTCGCCTACAAATGGCAATACAAGCCGGTCTACCTACCATCAAGAAATGGGACTACCCTTTGCATATAACCACTTGAGCCTCGAGTGGATGGATTGTTGGGGGAAATACGGGACTACAAAGAGTGCACTGAAGAAAATCCACAATGACTCCACTAGCTCACTCTCAATGAAGAGATGGTCCAGATTTTCTATTTAGGGGGGAGCTGCAGCATACACACCTAGAAGCCAGCGCAATACCCCAACATTTGACCAATTGATCCATAGGGAGAAAATTATGCAGAATTCTCCAGCACACCAACTTCGGCGGCATGACAGTGCCCCCAATCTGTTTGGCTATGGAGCAAGGAGTGGCACAGTGACGGATGACCTCCCATGCTGATTTGACCGAGAAGGTATCCGCCTGATCAGGTGCCCAATGCCTAATATCATCATTTTTCGATAAATGTGGGACTGAATGGGAAAGGGACTGGACAAATGTCGCACCCAGCTGCGAAACAAGAGGTGCCTACAGAAAAGGTTTCTTTGACGCGAACGTTGTAATCCCCATGCACATCAATAACCCCAAGTTTGTGATTCCAATTGTCACACCAAAATGAGATATAGCCTAGACCCACCGTCCAAGCACACAACTCAGTGAATGTAAGCTTCATTTTCAAGATATCTTTTCATTCAACTGAACACCCTAGGGGACCCTTCCATGATGCAGATGGAGGGGAGACCTGGTATTTAGCTCACATGAAAACAGCCCAACTAGAATTAGACTCACGGAGCAGGCAGCATTGTTTAAGGACAAAGGATTTTTTTGATATCTTCCATTCATCTGACACCAAGACCTCCTTCACCTGTAGGGATGCCAATTTTATGCCAAGTTACCCAATGTCTACAAGCTCCAAACTCCCACGAACCCCAAAAAAAAACTAGCCAGGAGCGATTCAATGGCCTTGAAAACCCCTTAAAGCACAGATATGCGTGATATAATATGAATGGGCATGCTACATAGCACATATCGTACCAATACTAGCTTGCCAGCAGAGCTTAATAGCTTTGATTGCCACCCTTGGATTCTTTGAGATATTTTATCAATCAGAGGTTGAAAGAAACATCTTTTTTTTCTGACCAGGTCCTATGGGAGCCCCCAGGTAATTGATTGGGAAGTTCCCTCTTGAAAAAAACAAAGTTATTGTAACAACTCTCCCTCAAGATGCCAAAGCTTTGTGAGGTAAATAGAATTTGATTTTGGTTGGGTTAAGCTTTTGACCTGAGTTTTGCTGAAAGTCTCCAAAATCTTCATGACTTGAAGAAGAGAAGCTCTTGCCGCATTGACAAAAACTATAATATCATCCGCAAACAGCAAAATGAGAAGGACAGCGAGTGTTATAAGTAGAATATAGCGCTGATTCTCTAAGCTGTGAAGCAAAGCTTAATGATAGTATCTCCTCCGCATTAATAAACAGACTTGGAGAAAGAGGATCCCCTTGTCGAAGCCCTCTAGATGAGTGAAACATCCCTCTGTAAATGCCTTGAAATACCACCGAAAATGAGCAATGGCATATCCATGCATTAATAATATGAATCCAATCTTCCGCAAACCCAAATTGCTTAAGAATAGCCAATAAGAAGTCCCGTTCAAGACGATCATACACCTTTAACATATCCAAATTCAGGATGATATTAGGGTGGGGTCTTTTTTATCAATCTCCCTGCTAATCTCCTGGGCCAGAGCAATATTATCTGATATACACCTCCCTTTGATGAAAGCCCCCCTGGTTGGGGGATATGTTATGTGGAAGGATGAGAGCCAATCTGCTACATAAGGCCTTCACAGTGATTTTGTAGACGGTGGAACATAGCCTAATTGGTCTGAATTCCTGTAGAGACTTGGGGGATGAAACTTTTGGAATGAGAATTATCACTGTGTGGGAAAATGATGGTGGCAGTTTTTTGACTTGCAGGAACTCATTGGCAGCCGCAAGAACTGAAGGAGCCACGATGTCCCACATAAATATGAAGAAAGTTGATGAAAAACCATCCATCCCTGCGGTGCTAACTTGGGGAATAGAGGAGGAGGCAAGAGAAATTTCCTCCATATCAAAAAGCCGCAACAGCATACAATTTGACTCTTCAGAAATGCAAGTGGAAACCAACTTGATGTAGTCAATATCCACATGGTGGGGTTCCAATGTGAGGAGATCAGTCCAGTATGAGATGGCTTCCCCATAAATGGCCTCATGGCCACGAATGATGTTCCCCTAATAATCCACAATGGAGTCAATCATAACTTGAGAATTTTTGCTTTTAACAATGCTATGGAAAAAACTTACCCTCTTGTAGTCATTTAATGCGCGATTTTTGTTTCCAAAAACTCTCCTCCTGGACGCAAGCCAAGCGCCATTGAGATTTTTTTTCTCCTTCAGCTCTTCAAAGACTACAGCATCCCATTGAGTTTGCAATTGCGCATCGAGGGAATTGATCTCAGATTGAAGGCCTGATAAGCGTTAGAATATATTGCCAAAGGAGGATTTACTCCAAGCCTTTAGCTTAGCTCTGAGAAGCTTCAACTTCAAGTGGAGATCCATCAAAGGTGACACGTGAAGGGTCTGAATCCAACATCATGAACTACATCTTTCAGCTCTGGATTAGTGGTCAACATGCGTTGAAACGCCACAGTTTAGGCCCTTTACGCACATGCTTACCATAGGAGATGAGAATAGGGCAACGGTCAGAAAACTCCTTAGGGAGTAACTGTGCAGATAGTCTCCCAGAGGCGAGCAAATCAGGGGACTGAAGAACTCTATCAAGGATTTGCCAGGTCCTTAAAATTGTTGCACCAAGTGAAATGAACACCTATTGTTGGGACTAGAACCACACTGCAGTCATCAATACAAAAATTAAACTTCTCCATGGCCAAGGGTTGAGGAAACATAACATCGGTACTTCTTGATAGGCAATTCCCTACCTAACCTAGCAAGGCGGTTCCTCACAGTATTGGCCTTGATCATTAACTCATTCTGTGGCACGCTATCCTGACCCAACACCCCAGGATGAAGTCCACAGATAGAAGCTCGATCACTGGAATCCAGAGTCTTGCTGTGGCTGATGAACCCGCAATGTATCCGTTCATGGTCTTCAGTCAGTCGCCAGGACATCTCCCTTGTCACCACCAAATTCCGGAGTTGTGTGAGAGAGTAATGATGAGGAATTGGAGGGAGGAATCGTAACCCTTTGAGTTCATGTGTGATTCATTTGATTTTGTAATTAGTGTTGTCCAAGGATAACGGATTGATGAAAAACCTCATGTGATCTACTATGCCAATAGGACATTCAACGATGCACAGCAAAATTACTCAGCAAAATCATTAAGAAAGAGTTTTTAGCCCTACTCTTTCATCGATATATGTGTCAAAGATGGCCCCATAATTCTCGCCGCCGACGAACAGTGTATTTCCCATAAACAGTTGAGATGTAGAATGGGACCCTGCCATACTAGCAGCCACAGTGATGCATTGGACTGTCTTATGAATAAGAGAAACAGACACGCCGTTCCTCCACATGATCCATATCTTGCCTTCCATGTCTTCATTGGATATCCAGTTGTTTTCGTTGCAAAAAAAGTGAAAATTTCTAATGTATCTAACTTTCATGATAGGCTCCATGATGATAAACAATGAAGGTCTATGTGCTGAAATCAGAGTTGTCTACAAAAGCCAAAAGTATCGAGGTTGCCCACTCCTCGAGCGTTCCAAAAAATGATATTTACATTATTATTCACACTAGTCATGGAGATTACGGAGTTGATGGGGAAGTGCTCTTCATTGCTCGAAGCCTGACATTCAGCGGCACATTGGGGTGTCTCTTGTTAATCTTAGAACCAGGAGAGACCTTGTCATGATAAATTTTCTTCTGAGTCAATGGAGATGAATGTTCATCAGCAGAATGGTGTCTCATGTCCAGAGGTTCGACTTGGCCTTCATCTGTATCTGTGTCGCACGACTCCATGGTAACCGATTGATCATCATCATCGCCTTGTCCATCCTGAAGTGCCGCGAAGGAATTAGTCGAGTTTGTGCCCAATGGTGTGGCTAGAGATTTTTTACCCTTAGAATGAGAAGGAAGCTCAGAGTCTAAGGATTCTTCATCGCTGGCCTGCATAACTTGGCCTGTAGCTTTACACATTAATTGCTCCAGTGCAGTGGCTTGTTGATGCACCAAAGTCTAGAACTTATCATCATCATTCACATTCAGTTGATGTATAATGGCCAGGGCTTTGGCCTTCTTGTGCTTTTTCCTCTGCACGACTATAGGTGTGCATGGCTCCTGGCCTGCAGATGACAAAATGGGAGGGGAGGCTAACCCATCACTAACTGGATGAGCTGTGGTTGTAGGTTAGCTATTCGCAGCTGTGACAGTCGCAGCGTCATTCTGTGCAACTCCTGGTGTGCACTCAAGTTGATCGGCCTGTTTCAGAACAGCGGGGATGATGCGGGATGCTGATTTAGAGAATCAGTCCTACACACTAGCAATCCATCGACCATAGTCCCTATCTGCATGTTCCCCATTCATATTAACAATGGCTTCATGTTGGTCTTCTTGTTGACGAGTTCGACCAGGCTCGACTGTGGCGTTCTGACGAACAAGTTGGTTATCAGCCAGGTGAGCCTGATTCCCCTCCAGAATAGAACTGTCCTCAACTATGGGGGCAGAACGATGATGACTAGGAGCAAGTTGGGGAAGCGGATTTAT